TACATGAACTGTGTCTGTATGCATGAAGGCAGATGGAGGAACCAGTAAAAACTATGGTTCCTTAACCAGTAGGGCTTAGTGCCACTGAATAGTGCAATAGAAGCACTAGTTAGTACTAGTCACTGTGTTTCTTTTCTGGGAAGACAGGGAAGATTTATTAAAAATCAAATGGGCTAAGAATTTTTTGAAAAATGTCCTTTAAATTTCAGCCATTAGCTAAGTTAGATACACAGTGCTGTGGCACATGCTCTTTATTTTCAGTGGGCAAATAAATATAACTCATTTTTAAATAGCTTCTTTATTCCAGAGACTCTTTTGGGGTTGTTTGAGCCAGGGTCTCACTGTGTCACGCAGGCTGGAGTGCAGTGGTGCAATCACAGCTCACTGCAGCCTTGACCTCCTGGGCTCAAGCAGTCCTCCCACCTCAGCCTCCCGAGTAGCTGGGAGAGCAGGCGCTCACCACCATGCTCAGCTAATTTTTGTATTTTTTGTAGAGATGGAGGTTTCACTATATTGCCCAGCTAGTCTCCAACTCCTGGGCTCAAGTGATCCTCCTGCCTCTGCCTCCCAAAGTTCTGGGATTACAGGTGTGAGGCACAGCACCTAGCCAGACTCTTGTGTTGATAACGCCTTTTAGATGTGATTGCCTACATATATGAAAATTTGAAACATACACCAAGAGAGCAGGCTGGGTGTTGAGAAATGCAGGGATACTGGATACGGAAGAAGATGAAGGGCCATCTTCATTTACTTAGAAATCTGCTATAGACAAGACACATATTCTGTGTTACTCCAAGAACCAAGGTGCAGGGATTGCGGGAAAGCCAGATTTCACCTCAGGAGAGAAACGTTCTATCAACTAGAGCGTCCAAAAATGGTTTGCTTGTCTCATTGCCAGCTACTCATCACTGGAAGTACCCAGCCAAAGCTACTTCTTTCTGGGGGAAGGGGAGGTGGGAGACTCTTAGTGAGCAAACTCTGAGTCCATCTAAGAAACCTCTAGAATCCTGTCTAGGTCTAAGATTCCAACTTATTATTGGGACACACTATCACTGCCAATCGTATGCTCACAGCGCATGCACAGCAAATGGTCCCCACCCGCATGGTGATGTGTTTGTGCTGAGCCGGCCGCGTTCCCGGACTGAGCCCCTGCTTGCTGAGGAAACAAGTCTGTGCGTGGACTGACCCAGCTAAGGCACATTCCTGGGTCTTAGAACTAAGTTTTTTCCTGGTCCAGTACCTGGGACTTCAAGTCCCATGCTCCTGATACCTTATTAGTCTCAAAATAGGCTTATGGTCTAGGTAGGAAACTGGCTGAGTCCGCTTGACACGCCCTTCCTCCTGTACTCAGGGAGAACCCCTCTGTGCCTGCTCCCTTGGCCAGCGTCAGTATGGAAGGCTAAAGCAAGCCCATGCAGAAGCCTGGAGGTGTGTACCAGAGCACGTATCAGCCCCCCAGAGGCTTAACCCACCAGGTCAGGATGAGGCATCCAAACAGCCCAAGACTGGGAATGGCCTCAGTTAACCTTCTTTACCCTTTCTGGAAGGGGAACATAAAGTTGGCCGTGACCCAGATATTCCTCCTCTATTCTCCATGTGAGACCTCCTTAGAGATCCACACACCTGTCCTAAGCCGATTTAATAATATCAGGAATAATAGTGATGGGAGTGTTCCTGGTGATGGTGGTGGTGGTCAAAGCAATGACTAGTGTTTACTGAGTTTTTCCTATTTGCCTCACACCATGATGAGCTCATTACATAGACCACCTCATTGAATCCTTACAATGATCCCACAAGGTAGATGCCATCAGCATTGCCATTTGATAGATGAGGAAACTGAGGCCAAGTGACACTAAGGGGCATGTCCAAGGAGGCAGCACTCTGACTCCACAGCATGGCCTCTTCACTATGTTGCTGTCTGGCCTCAGTTTCTCTCTGTACATAGAGACATGAAAACACAGAAGGAAAAGTCACCTGCCTACTCTTCAGCCCTTGTTTGAGCCACACCCCAGGAGGCTTCTCCAAGCCCAGAAGCAGCCACCAAGAGGGGTGCAGGAGCAGTTTGTGCACCAAACCCTACTCTGGGTGCTGCTTGACCTTTCCTTCCTTTAACCCTCATAGCAAATGCTGGAGGTCGGTGGCATTCCTTGCATTTTGCAGAGTTCGGGGACTTGCTCAAGGTCACCTGGTGCACAGGAGCTGGGACTCCAGCCCAGGCAGCCGTGGCTGTCTCAGCAGTCAGCACCTCCCACCACCACACCAGCCCGCCTGGTTAAGTGAACCAAGCTGAACACCCTCACAGACACTAAATTTATATTTCCTGGCCTCCCCTTCCAAAATGGATACACTAATTACTGACCTTTTTTTTTTTTTTTT